GTGTTCAGCTTAAAGTGACATGTAAAGGCTTCACTAGGGTAATTAGGGTAAAGTTAGGGTAATTAGGCAAGTCATTGTATAACAGTGGTTTGTTCTGGAGACAATCCAACACTAATATTGCTGAAGGGGCCAATAATATTGAGCTTAACATGGCTTTAAAACAATTAAGAACTGCTTTTATTCTAGCCCAAATAAAACAAATAAGACTTTTTCCAGAAGAACAAATATTAGAGGAAATACTGTGAACAACTCCTGAATCTGTTCAACATTATTTGGGAAATATTTGGAAAATAATTCACAGGAGGGCGAATAATTCTGACTTGAACTGTCAAAAGGGTTTGTGGAGTACTAGTGCCAACCCTGATGCGTTCCTCTTTTTTTCTGCATCGCCATCATCAGCCTGGCTCCACTGGACTGTGGAATTGTGGGTAAGTAAATGTTGGTTCTGTCTGGCTGTTGTTGTCATTGGCAGAGCGGGTGAAGCTGGAGGAAATTATTAAATGAAGGTGGAGTTACTGGAGGACTAGTCATCCACTTTACTATATTCCTTTAACAAGGTGAAGACTCATGACTGTCACACACTGTAAAATGTATCTGCTAATGAACAATATTTTGTATTTTCCGTTTATTTACGGTGGGGAATTGCATTATGGGATGCTGATCTCTGCTCTGTCGACTTTTCATGTTGAAAAATCATCAGTTTAACAAAGTGACTTTTACTGACATTTTAGTCATTTGAAATAATGTATAAGAAATATAATATCTAGAGAAATAAGTGTGTAAAATAACAGAAAATGTGCTGCAGTTTATTACAAGGTTATTGTAGCGTAATTAACAACACCAATCCAGACAATACAGCACTGCACACTATTACAAATGTTCACTTTTTACAACTTTTCAAGGTTAAACGTCTTTGGTAGAAAGATCAAGATCCCATAATGCAATTCAGAAACAGAAAAAAGCGGGAAAAAAATAAAAGCATGAATCACAAAATACAGAAACTGTTAACTTATGCATATTTTTTTTACAGTGCACTCAATGTACACTCAGATTCATTACTGCTTTCGAAAAGCATGTGTAAAATCCACCTCGCTGTGTTTCTGATTCTACAGTCGCTATGGTAACACAACCACTATAGTGCTCGATCTGTTGTTGTGATTCTACAGTTGCTATGGTAACACAACAACTACAGTACTTGATCTGTTGTGGTGATTCCACAGTTGCCATGGTAACACAACAACTAAAGTACTTGACCTGTTGTGGTGATTCTAGAGTTGCTATGGTAACATTAACTATAGTACTTGATCTGTTGTGACAATTCTACAGTTGTTATGGTAACACAACAACTATAGTAATTGTTCTGTTGTGGTGATTCCACAGTTGCTATGGTAACACCAACTATAGTACGTGATCTGTTGTGGCGATTCTAGTTGCTATGATAACACCAACTATAGTTCTTGATCTGTTGTGACAATTCTACAGTTGCTATGGTAACACAACAACTATAGTAATTGATCTGTTGTGGTGATTCCACAGTTGCTATGGTAACACAACAACTATAGTAATTGATCTGTTGTGGTGATTCCACAGTTGCTATGGTAACACAACAACAACTATAGTAATTGATCTGTTGTGGTGATTCCACAGTTGCTATGGTAACACAACAACTATAGTAATTGATCTGTTGTGGTGATTCCACAGTTGCTATGGTAACACAACAACTATAGTAATTGATCTGTTGTGGTGATTCCACAGTTGCTATGGTAACACCAACTATAGTACTTGATCTGTTGTGGCGATTCTAGTTGCTATGGTAACACAACAACTAAAGTACTTGAGTTAATCTGTTGTGACATTTCTACAGTTGCTATGGTAACAGCAACTACAGTACTTGATCTGTTGTGCCGATTTTACAGTTGCTATGGTAACACACCAACAATAGTACTTGATCTGTTGTGGCAATTCTACAGTTGCTATGGTAACACCAACTTTAGTAATTGATCTGTTGTGGCGATTCTACAGTTGCTATGGTAACACAACAACTACAGTACTCGATCTGTTGTGATTCTACAGTTGCTATGGTGACATATTTAGTATAATTGACTGTATGAGGGATCTTTGTGCCATTGTGCATCGGCTCTTGCCCTGAAATCACAATCTAAATGTCAACATAACAGTCGAGCACGCTGCAACAACTGCTCAACAATAAACACCACAATGGTGTTATAAATCAAAATCTTACCAGACTCTACATTTTCCTGTACGCTGTCCAGTTTTAGGACCCAATAATGTCAGCGAGCACAGTGATGCGTGCCGTACATGTCAACGCCAATTACATTCTTCAAACTATCAATGCAATAGAAACGTAGTGAAAGCAAAAGAAGCGGCGGTCCACCCACAGCCATCTGCTCTGGAGACTCTGGCTCATTTCCACAGCATGAAGAACTTATTCGCTCGTCCTGCACTCAATTTATGCATGTTCTGCCGCTTTTGTTGCTGTTTATCCAAACAGCAGAGGGAAGCGTCTGTTCTTCTGCTCCGCTTTCATGTAACGGCAGTGGTAATGATTTTCTGCTTTGTATTTGTTTGGTTCCCTCCCTTAATTAATGCCTCTTTTATAATGAAAACAAAGAGGCCTTTGAGCTGCTGTCATTCAGAATCACTTCACTCTCTCCTCTGCTCTCCCTCGCCGTTTTTAGGCCTGCGTTACTTCAATAGTTACTGTAGATGCAACTCAAATAGTAGCTTGACTAGCATTAAAGACGTCAGGCGTTACTGCGTGTTCATTCATTCTACGGTTTAATTGCATGTAGCAAGACAAATCCATGATTGCATTTAAATAGCTGACAACAGAAATTGGTCTATTCTCACTCTGAAAACCAAACAAAACCAAACGAAAAACACACACTTTTATGCAAACAATAGTATAAAGAAAAAACATTCGATATCAAACTTGAAGTAAATCAGTACGACTTTACAGTAAGGTTTAAATCAGTGAGTTAAAATGAACTAACACTCCCGTAGAAAAATCTGATGCCATATGAACATGTAGATCAGATTATCGCTATTACATGTGAACATATACATGTTCGTAATTCTAACTAGTGAGGTTTGCACATTTTGAAATGTATTTGCATATATTGCCATACTGCATATCAGACTTCTAGGGTCGAACAACACTCCTACATCATTTGTTCAACATTTATGCAATGGCAGTTTAATATCCAAAGGTGTGTCTAACAACAATTGTTGTTCAACATGTTTTACTAAACACAGTGTTTGTTCATTTCAACAAATAAACCTTATATTATCAGGAAATCTAAAGGTCGCAATTACCAGAAAAAAAGGAATGAAATGTCACGATAAAAAGTACAGAATGCATACACTGTAAAAAGCGATTAGTTGACTTTGCATCAAAAGTCAGCAAACCCATTTCTTAAAGTGATTAGTTGACTAAAAAAATGGGTGTAAATCCAATGCTTTTAAAGCGATTAGTTGACTTTACTTTAAAAAAATGAGTAAATCCAATGCTTTTAAAGCGATTAGTTGACTTTACTTTAAAAAAATGAGTAAATCCAATGCTTTTAAAGCGATTAGTTGACTTAAAAAGGTGTGTAAACCCAATGCTTTTAAAGCGATTAGTTGACTTTACTTTAAAAAATGAGTAAATCCAATGCTTTTAAAGCGATTAGTTGACTTAAAAAGGTGTGTAAACCCAACGCTTTAAAAGTGATTAGTTGACTTTACTTTAAAAAATGAGTAAATCCAATGCTTTTAAAGCGATTAGTTGACTTAAAAAGGTGTGTAAACCCAACGCTTTAAAAGTGATTAGTTGACTTTGCATCAAAAGTTAGCAAACCCAATTCCTTAAGTGATTAGTTGACTAAAAAAATGTGAGTAAACCCAACGCTTTTAAAGCGATTAGTTGAGTCTGCTTAAAAAATCTGTGTAAACCCAACGCTTTTAAAGCGATTAGTTGAGTCTGCTTAAAAAATCTGTGTAAACCCAACGCTTTTAAAGTGATTAGCTGACTTTACTTAATGAAGTGGATAAACCTGCTGCTTTTAAAGCGATTAGTTGAGTTTAATTTAAAAAGTGAGTAAATCCAATGTTTTTAAAGCGATTAGTTGACTTTATGTTGAAGAAAGTGGGTAAACCTGTTGCTTTTGAAGCGATTATTTGAGTCTACTTTAAAAAGTTGAGTAAATCCAAGCGATTAGTTGATTTTACTTTAAAAATGTGAGTTAACCCAATGCTTTTAAAGCGATTAGTTGATTTTAAAGATGGTGATTAAACCTGTTGTTTTTAAAGCAATTAGTTGACTTACTTTTAAAAAATGTGAGTAAACCGAATGCTTTTAAAGCGATTAGTTGAGTTAACTTAAAAAAGTGAGTAAACCGAATGCTTTTAAAGCGATTAGTTGAGTTAAGTTTAAGTGAAGTTTAGTTTTAAACTAATTTCGAGAGGAGCATGTGCTCATAATTGACCCAGCTGGTCCACATTAGCTAATTATGATCCTCCAATCAAAGGATCCCAAATCACTATATATATATCCTCATTTCCTTTCTACAACTATCTTCGTCTGGAAGAAACCCCCCCACTCCCCTTCTTCCTCCTTTATCCAGAATGGGTGGCACGGTGGCCCAGTGACTAGCACTGTTGCCTCACAGCAAGAATACCAATGGTGCTGGGTCCTCGCTGAGCCATCTGGTATTTCTGTGTGGAGTTTGCATGTTCTCCCCGTGTTCGCGTGGGTTTCCCCCGGGTTCCCCGGTTTCCTCCCACCATCCAAATGTGCTCTATATTATAGATAAAATAGGCCTAAACCTTTTTTATAATGTCTTACTCTTAGGAAGTTCGCCTTGGCCTCAGCAGCGGGGGAGTTTGAGATAGACCTGAGCTCAATCTCCACTCGCCCTGCAAAAGGGGGGGAGCCCTGGGCTCGAGGATCCCTTGAGCTCAGGGCTCTCTCCCGGGACAGCATGCCAAACAAGCCTTGTATAAATCATGAGCTAAGTGTGAACTCTTGAAAAAGTGAGTAAACCTGTTGCTTTTAAAAGCGATTAGTTGATTCTACTTTAAAAAAGTAGGTAAATCCAATGTTTTAAAGGGATTAGTTGACTTTACTTAAAAAAGTGAGTAAACCTGTTGCTTTTAAAGCCATTTGTTGGGTCTACTTTAAAACGTGAGTAAACCTGTTGCTTTTAAAGGGATTAGTTGACTTTACTTAAAAACATCAGTAAACCCAATGCATTTAAAGTAACTAATAGAGTCAGCTTTAAAAAGTAAACACAATGATTTTAAAATGATTAATTGAATATACTTAAAAAAGTGAGTGAACCCGTTGTTTTAAAATTATACTTTAATTGAGCCATATGCATAATTACAAAAATTAAGTCAACTTAAAAAGTTCCAAGTTATAACTGCTTTACTCTTATAGTCATAACTAACTAGTGAACTAACTAATCACTTTTTACAGTGTATCATGTGCATCAAATGTATCACGTTCAATCACCTCTGTCCCATAGTTCTCTGCATTTCTGACATCCTCATCCGCATCATCATGGCCGAGTTAAAGTCGTGTAAACCGGCTGCTCCCAGTTTGTACCAGGACTATGAGATGGACTGGACAAAGTGTTGAGAACTGGAGTCATGTAGGACCGTCTGGTGGAGTGGAAGTACGGATACTGATAAATGCCAGCCGGGTAGCCGGAAAATGTGGTGAAGTACGCCGAGTTCTGCATGTCGGCACAGTCGCTGAGCTCAGATTGAGTCGGTGAGCCGTGAGACTGTCCATAATGAGAGGGACTCAATTGTTCAGTTTTAATGAGAGGTCTTTGTTGGTTTGCGCTGGATGTGGACGGTGACCCGGACGGTTTGTTCCACGCTGAAGCGCCGCTGTGATGGTGAAAAGAAGTGCTGAAGCAGCCGGGACTGGAGTGCTGCCCGCCGCCGCTCTCCGTGTGCCCATTTAATGGCAGATATTGGTCAAACTCTCGAACGTCGAACTGGCTAATGCTGCCGATGACGTCACTGCTCAGCTCTGAAATGTCCACGTTGCTGAAGTCTATGTTCTGTCTGGCGTTTTCCGACAGGCGCTTCATGCTTTGATGCTGGTCGGATTTCGGTGTGGTTGGAGGCGTTGGAGGTCCGTGTGGTTGAACTGGGTTGGAAAGATTGAATATGGTTGGTTATTATGTTCTATGGTGTAGTGTTATTGGCAAACCGATATACAAGCAATACCGATATATCGGCCATTGAATTTAAAATTATTAGTTGAATTTCTTATTTTGCACTAGGTTGGAAAGATTTATTATGATTGGATGGTTATAGTTGGAAAAGAATGATCATGCATACAGTATATTGTATCGGTAAAACCGATATATCAGTGATAACGATATATCAGCAATACCGATATATTGGCTGATATTTAAATTATAGCATCATTATGTTTGCCTAAATGTATAGTTAATTATAAAATTAACAGTAGAATTTCTTGTTTTGAAGATAGTATATTATATTGGAACAACTGATATGTCATCAACACTGATATATCGGCCGATATTAAAGTTTTTCATTTTTAAATATAATTTTTAAATATAAAATTATTAGTAGAGTTTCTTATTTTGAACTTGGTTGAAAAGATTGAATATTTTTGGTTGGATAGAGTTGCAAAAGAATGAACATGCAAATAGTATATTGCATCGGCAATACCAATATATCAGCAATACTGACGTATCGGCCGATATTTAAGTTTTTATATTTTTCTGGTTTCTTAAATGTTTAGTTAAACCCTAAATTAAAAGTACAATTTCTTATTTTGAACTGGTTAAGGAAGGATTGAATATGATTGGTTGGATAGATCTGGAAACAAATGAACATGCATATAGAATATTGTATCAGCTATACCAATACATCAGCTGATATCAAAATTTGTACATATTTAAGTTTGTCTAAATGTATAGTTGAATATGTAATTTTTAAACAAACTTATTAACAATAACAACTCTAATAATAGAGTTGGAAAAAAGAACATGCATATGGTGTAGTTTATCGGCAAAACCGATATATCAACAATACCGATATATCGGCTGAAATTTAAATGCAAAATTTTTTTAGTTGTTTACATTTGAATATAAAATTATTAGTAGAGTTTTTTTTTAATTTTTAACTTGGCTATAAAAATTTAATATGATTGGTTGGAAAGAGTTGCAAAAAAAATTAAAAAGCAAATATAGTATTATGTTGTATCTGCAATACCGATATATCAGCAATAACAATATATCGACCAATATTTAAGTTTTTACATTTTTCAGTTTCATGAATGTATAGTTGAATATAAAATTAAATGTAGAATTTCTTATTTTAAACTGGCTTGGAAAGATTGACTATTATTGGTTGGATTGAGTTGCAAAAGAATGAGCATGCATATAATATATTGTATCGGCAACAGCGATATATCAGCAATACCGATGTATCAGCAAATAACAATATATCGGCTGATATTTAAGCTTTTACAAATTTCTGTTAATCTAAATGTATAGTTGAATATATTATAATTAGTAGAAGTTAATAATAATAACAACTCTAATAATAGAGTTGAAACAAGACATGCACATGCTGTAATGTATTGGCCAAACCAATATATCAGCAATACAGATTTACTGGCTATATATTTTTATTTTTCTATTTGCCTATATTTGAATATAAATGTATAAGTAGAGTTTTTATTTTTATTTTGAACTTTGTCATAAAGATTGAATATGACTGGTTAGATAGATTTAAAAAAGAAAGAACATGCATAAGGTGTAGTGTATCTGCAAAACCGACATATCAGCAAAACCGATATATTGGCTGATATTTAAGTTTTTAGGCTTTTTCATTTGCCTAAATTTGAATATAAAATAATTACCAGAGTTTCTTATTTTGATCTAAGTTGGAAAGATTGAATATGATTGCTTGGATAGAGTAAGAAAAGACTATTCAAATGTTGTATTGTATTGGCAAAACCAATGTATCAGCAATACTGAAATATCTGCTAATATTTAAGTTTTTACTTTTTTCTATTTGCCTAAATTTGTGTATAAATTATTAGTAGAGTTTCTTATGTTGAACTTGATTATAAAGATTGAATATTATTGGTTCGATTGAGTTGCAAAAGAATGAACATGCATATGTTATAGAGTATCGGCAATAGGGATATATCAGCAATACTGATATATCGGCCGATATTTAAGTTTTTACATTGTTCTGTTTGCCGAAATGTATAGGTAAATGTAAAATTATTAGTAGAATATGTTATTTTGAACTGGGTTGCAAAGATTGAATATGATTGGTTGGATAGAGTTGGAAAAGAATGAACATGCATATGGTTGTATCGGCAATACCGATATATCAGCAATACCAATATATCAGCTGATATTTCGATTTTTACATTGTTCTGTTTGTCTAAATGTATAGTAGAATATATAATTATTAGTAGAAGTTAATAATAATCACAATTGTAATAATAGATTTGGAAAAAAATAACATGCATATGCTGTAGTGCAATAATGATATATCGGTCGATATTTACGTTTTTACATTGTTCTGTTGCATTGTTGTGATGCAGAACAATGTAATCTATTGCAGTTTTCAATCAGGCACACAATACAAAATGCTGGGTTCCACACAATACATTCATACTGTCCAAAAACACATTGATTAAGTCAACTTGTAAGTGGATTGAACATAAAACAGTTAAGTCTTCCCAAAAAACTCAAGGATTGTTTTATTTTTGCTTATTTTAATTTGAACAAGCATCAATACTCTTGAGTGCGGTGAAGATCAAACCTTTTTTAAAAGAAACAAGATCCTAAACGTGGTACGTTTATAATGACATGACAGTTTACCAAACACTTGAGCTGGCTCACGGAAAATTAAAAGTATTATTATTATTATTATAATAAATGTGCATTATCTGACCTCCATGGATGGTCTGATGGTGCATGGCTCTCATTCCCGCTTCCGTCTTGTAGATTGGATCCGTGTGATGAAGGTTTTTCTCGGCTCCTGCTTCTGCTTCATTCTGTCCAGGTTTTAGACTCTTGCGTCTCCGCGGCTGATATTTATAATCAGGATAGTCTTTCTTATGCTGCAGCCTCAGTCTTTCAGCTTCTTCCACAAACGGCCTCTTCTCGCTCTCAGACAACAGCCTGAGCAAACAGAGGACAGTAATATCATTCAATATAATATCATTAACAGTAAACTGCATCTGTTATTCATGTCAAATTGAGGGTGCACTTCATTATCCTGATGCACTACAAATGCATCATTTACACTAGACTGAATGCGTTATTCATGTAAAATAATGCATGATAGAGAACATTTGATTTGATTGCTAATTGTTGCTTAGCTTAACAATGATAATAACAAAGTTGACATTCTCCATCCTTTTGAGCTTTAGCTCTAGATGCTAACCTCAACCCAGACTCCATATGGCGCGTCTAAAACACAATCAATTCAATACATTAACTCTAATATCACAGTAACAGAGTTGACATAATCAATCTACTATTGGTGTATCATAAACATTGCCTTCCACAGTGACATCACTTGAAGCATGTCACATGCATTTTCCAAATCAGTGCTTTACAGATTGCTCTGCATTTTTACAACCAATGTAACAGAGTTAACATATCATTTTAAAATGGTATTTTTAATTATTATACTTATAAAAGGAACCTTTATTTGGTCTTCGGTCAATATCATGATTGTATACGACTATATAAGGTGATTAAAGCTTCAGCAATTAAAGTAAATATGATATTGTCAATTGACTTTTAGCGGTAAACTAGTAATATTTTTCCTCTTAACCATGTATACATCATTAGTCCAAACTACTGTGATTAAAACTAGCACTTTCTCTCATTAATTATTTAAATTAGTCACTAGTACATTCGATAGCATGTTACACTTTGCAAACAAGTAATAACCTATGTAAATATAAGATCAATTCATTACCAAATGCTAACTAATTTAACATATATTAAAAGTGTCACTCTAAAGTACTGAATACAATACATAAAACTGACAAATAATCATCTATTCCACGTGTTTACTAATAAACATAGCAGAAATGAGTGTTGTATTAGTACCTATTCTAACTAGCATGCATTATATATTGTTGATTTGAGTTGTTATTAAAGATTTAGCTAGTATTAATTAGTCACAAGTATGCTTGTTAGTCTCAATGGGAAATTTGTATTGATTACAACATTACAGTTTTCTGAAGTAATTAGTCTGATGCATTATAACTTATTTAGTTAAACAGTTTAATGTCTAACACAAGTCTCTTTAAATAATATTGGTAAAAACAATAACATTATTACTAGCTAAAACCCGTCACTGATGTAGTATCTTTTCTAAAGGTACACATCGGTAGCTTAAATTACAATTTTGTACACCTTTAGGGTGCACGTTTGCATGTTTATTATGAGGCACACATTTACATATACATTTTAGGTATTAATATGTACCTTTAAGATACAAATGTGGCCCTTACAAAGTACAAAAGTGTATCCAGCACACCAGTGACAGGTTTTGTACCTTTATTTCTGAGCGGTGCAAAAGTGGTAACATGCAGTGATGAGCTAACTTTTAACACATGTTTTGTCATAACTTTGTGTATTTAAGTTGATTATGCTAGTGTTAAGTATGCTACTGGGAAAATAAAGATTTGAAACAATCCTGATGTATTTGGTTATCCAAAGTTAACGTAAAAAGCTATTTTGTTGGGTGGTATATGGCGTATTATTTAATCTTATATACTTTTACTTGTTTTATGTGTGTTTGTGCATTTCTAATCATAATAGTGTTAATAACTCATCTCTAATAACTGATTTATTTTCTCTTTGTCATGATGACAGTAAATATTATTAGACTTGATATTCTTCAAGACACTTCTATACAGCTTAAAGTGTCATTTAAAGGCTTCACTAGGGTAATTAGGGTAACTAGGCAGGTTAGGGTAATTAGGCAAGTTATTGTATAACGATGGTTTGTTTTTTAGACTATCAAAAACAAACTAGCTTAAAGGGGCTAATAATATTGACCTTAAAATGGTGTTTAAAAAAATAAGAACTGCTCTTATTCTAGCTGAAATAAAATAAATAAGACTTTCTCCAGTAGAAAAAATATTATAGAAAATACTGTGAAAATTTCCTTGCTCTTTTAAACATAATTTGGAAAATATTTAAAAATAAATAAATAAATAAATTCAAAGGGGGCTAATAGTTTTGACTTCAACTGTATATACATATATATATATATACTCATATTTAATAATCATAGAAGGAAATATGCTGTTTAATTTCGTACGCAGAAGTGTGTATGTGGAGAATGTGGAGGATATATCCTTGCCAACATTTTCTGTACTTGTGTCAATTCTGTAATTGTGTAAATTCCTATACAAAATACAAATCTGTTTTGTATCTGATTTAGCCTGTTAAATGTCTATTTGCATTTGCATGTCATAATTGTATTAATCAGTGTAGGGTCAAATGGACAAACCCAACTAATTACATTATTATTACATAAATTATTTTAATAATTACAATAATAATTTAACCAAGTTGTCAAATTCGTACAATTACAGAGTTCAGTATTCATGAGTTCACCCCTCACAGATCTCTCCTTTACATTAATATTTTCTACCGGATGCTTCACAATAATATATTAGTGCAAATACATTAGATGAGTCAGTAGCACAGACAAAACTAGATCTTATCTAAAAAAAACCCTGAAGGGTACAGTCTAAATAAGCAGAAATTAATATGTTGGGGAAAAGTATTCAATAAAAATTTGATAAACAGGAAAAATTTAGTTGGAATTGTGTACTTTATATATTTATATCTATTCATAATTTCTATTTTGCATTAACTTTCTATTCCTAAAGATGTTCGGTGACTTGTTTTAATGAATAAGCCTATAACTGTTTAATAAAACTGTTTTGTTTGAATGCACCAAATATTATTGCCTATATTCACTGACAAATTAATCAAAATATTATTGCATAAAAAAAAAGTTTGCATCGCAGTTTCAGAATAAGTGTTTATTATAAAACACATGCATTAATCAGTACCTCCAGAGCTTCCCGAGGGTCTTGCTGAGCTCCGCGTTGTGCAGATGCGGGTACTGATCGGCGAGTTTCCTCCGCGCCGCCTGCGCCCACACCATAAACGCGTTCATGGGTCTCTTCACGTGCGGTTTGTCCTTCAGAGACCGACTTCCCTGCATCGGCATCGGCACCAGGGACCAGTCGTAGCCCTTCAGGACCTGCGACACCGCGTCTCGGATGCACACAGGGAACCGCGCGTCTCCATCGGTGTCCGGTGGCGGAGCGGCGCGCGAGCCTGGATCATCAGACACAGATGGAGAAGACGGAGAATCAGAGTCCACATCATCCAGAAAACAACTCTCCGGGATAGAAGCAGCTTTATCCGGCTCCTTAGACATTTTAAAATCCTGCGATCTCACAGAAGTATTCCCAATAAGCGCACTAATTGTTCGGTTTCATGACGCGTCGGGCTGAGGAACTGGCAACATTACACAACTTATTGGTGAGAGAGAAGTTTTGTGCGGCATTATTAATAGTCTCCTCCTTCTGTTTTCTCATTGGTCGAGATTATTTTACGCAACTGCTCTGATTGGCCAGTTCTGCACATCAGCAACTTTTTAACTTAATTGAACATAATTGACTACAAATTACAGCATAATGCTGTATAACTGCTTATGTGTTCATCTATTATCCAACATTCTGACTGCTTTATTTATTTAAAACACTTTATTTTAAGGTATTCTTTTTTCCTACGCTGGAAAATTATTAACAATTTAGGAGTTTTTCAAATTTTAAGATTAATATTTTTATTTTTTCCCCTTTATTTATGTTTTTAAATTGCATTATGAGATACTGATCGTTCTTCAAACAATTTTTAACCTTAAAAAGTAGTAAAAAGTGACTTATATAATAATATAATAGTGTTTTTAGCAGTTTGCAGTGCTATATTGACTGTGTTGGTGTTGTATATTATGTTGCAAAAATATTGTAATAAACTGCCAGCACACTTTGTGTTATTATACAGACTTATTTCTCTATATATTATTGAGAAGATGAGAATCAGAGTCCACATCATCCAGAAAACAGCTCTCCAGGTCAGAAGCAGCTCTCTCCGGCTCCTTAGACATTTTAATATTCATCAAAAACTGCGATGAGGAGTTTAAGATCTCAGAGTCGTAAATATTCTCAATAATCGCACTATTTTCTCAGTTTTATGATGCATCAAGCTGAGGAACTGGCAACATTACACAATTTATTGGTGCGTTTTTGTGTGTCTTTCCTTTATAGTCTCCTCTTCCTGTTTTCTCATTGGTCGAGAAGATTTTAAGCAGCTGCTCTGATTGGCCAGTGCTGTACATCAGCTACTTTCATACTTAATTGAACATAATTGACTACAAATTAGAGCATACTGCTGTATATCCAACATTCTGACAGTGTTTAATACATTTTATTTACTTTACAAAACCTGTTACATGTCTTTTCATGCCCTTGGTACATGTATTTACTGTAGTATTGGCAGTTTATTATGCATAATTATTAACCATAACCTAACTCACATTTTAATTTCATCCTTGTATTAATTAATTATACATAAACAAATATACAAGGATAAAACGAGTACTTAAAATTCCTAATATTGATAAACATTGTTGTTTAATTGTGAGGTAAATGTGAGGTTCCTGTAGTCTCCTCCTACTGTGCTTTCATTGGTCGAGTAGATTTTACGCAACTGCTCTGATTGGCCAGTTCTGCACATCAGCAACTTTTTAACTTAATTGAGCATAACTGACTACAAATTACAGCATAATGCTGTATAACTGCTTATGTGTTCATCAATTATCCAACATTCTCACTGCTTTATTTATTTAAAACATTTTATTTTAAGGTATCCTTTTTTCCTACGCTGGAAAATTATTAACAAATAAGGAGTTTTTCAAATTTTAAGATTAATATTTTTATTTTCCCACTTTATTTATGTTTTTAAATTGCATTAAGAGATACTGATCGTTCTTCAAACAACTTTTAACCTTAAAAAGTAGTAAAAAGTGACTTATATAATAATATAAAAGTGTTTTTAGCAGTTTGCAGTGCTTGACTGTGTCGGTGTTGTATATTATGTTGCAAAAATATTGTAATAAACTGCCAGCACACTTTGTATTATTATACAGACTTATTTGTATTATTAAGAAGATGAGAATCAGAGTCCACATCATCCAGAAAACAGCTCTCCAGGTCAGAAGCAGCTCTCTCCGGCTCCTTAGACATTTTAATATTCATCAAAAAAACTGCGATGATGAGTTTAAGATCTCACAGTGGTAAATATTCTCAATAACCGCACTAATTTTAACAACATTGCTTTATTTTATATTTGATATTAATTCATATATTGCGCAAGATTGAGCGTCTTCGTGAACTTTATAGCAGATCTGTCATCGCTCTGCGTGCTGTGTTGGCAGAGGCGCACCGTCTTCTGATAGGTCAGTGCGCTGCACGTGATTCCACGCAGATGCGCAGAACGCTGCAAACATGGCGTCCTCCGGTGAAAGTTCGGAGACCAGCGAGAGTTTCCTTAGAAAGCGACGTGGCGATCCGCTTGTTTTGGATAATACTGCACACGACAGTTGCAGCGACACAAAACGAGACGAACATTCGAGTAAATATGAGAAGAAAGTGGGTGTTTTGGTCCAGAGAGGGTCATTCTGGCTCACGCGCATCGTCCTGCTGAGATCCATCGCCTTCATCTACTGTGAGTCTGACTGGAGATGAAATGACGCCGTTGCTAGGAGACCACGCACAATTAGTTTGATTAGTTAGTGCGAGAATATTTTTTAATGAGTGACTAGCTGCCAGTCAGCCTGATCCACTACAAACGTCTTTATGTTTCCTCATTAAAGCTCCCATGAAATTAAAAAAGTTGTTTTGGATGTTAGCGTTAGTATTGTTCATTTGTAGGATTTTAGGCTAGTGTCTGTCACCAAATTTTCGTTTTTCCTGATATACACATCCTAAGCCTGCAGTTTGCACAGTAACTTTAGCCTAAATTGATCAATAATTTTTTGACATCAGTTTCTCAACCATTCTTGACCAATCAAAATGCTAATGGCTGTTTTTTTTTAAAGGGGAGGAGCTAAACTATGTCCTACCCTCTCTTTATTTTTTTTTGACATCTCAAAAGCACTTAAAAGCACTTAAAAGCACTTCACGGGACCTTTAAAGTCCTCCTAAAATCAAATTCTCCATGTTTATTTTGCTAGCGCACATCATTATTCTTTTAGTGAACAATTAATCCGTGCAAATTCATTCACTTTTCTTCAGCTTGGTCCTTAATTCATCAGGCATCACTACGGCGGAATGAACCGCCAGCTTATCCAGCACATGTTTTACACAGTGGATGCCTTTCCTGCCTCAACCCAGGGAAACACCCATATACTCTCACATTTATACACATTCATACACTGCAGGCAATTAAGTTAATCAATTCCCCTATAGCGCATGTGTTTGGACTGTGGGGGAAACAATGTACAATATGATCATGCACAATTTGTAATTTTTAATTGTTAAATTTAATCAATTGCTGTGATTTGCTGTATGATTGTGGATTTAATTTTCACTGTCGCTTATAATACCTGGTATTAATTGTGACTTTTGACTTAATAAAGTCCTAATTTGCTGCTTATTAATAGTTATAAAGGTATGGTGTATTGTGTGGGATTAAGGATGTAGAACATGATCATGCACAATATGTATTTTTTATTTTAAATGTATTTTTTGTGCTTTATTAAGTTCATTTTAGATCAGACAGAAAATATTTACTCATCTGTTATTATTATTACATTAATAACTCGTCTGTTTTCCAGTTGTGGCTTTCACTGTTGCTTAATTGAATGTTTAATACTCGCCATTATACATTAGTCAATTAATTGTTTTTGTGCTTAATTAGGTTAATAATAATAATAATAATAATAATGCATCCCATCATCTGTTTTCCAGTTGTGGCTTTTACATTTGCTCATTTTAAGGTATAATATTTGCCATTAATTGCGACTTTTGCCACAATAAACCTCTAATTTGCTGCTCTTTAGTGGTTATTATGGTAGTATTTGGGTTTGGATATTGTGTAGGATTAGGGATGCAAAATATGATCATGCAGAATATGCACTTTTTATTTAATTTAATTTTAAATACTTGTTTTTTTTTGCTTTATTAAGTTCATGTTAGAGAAGACAGAAAATCATAACTCGTCTGTTATTATTAATACATTAATAACTCGTCTGTTTTCCAGTTGTGGCTTTCACTGTCACTTATTTGAATGTATAATACTCGCCATTAATTATGACTTTTGCCTCATTAAACCTGTAATTTGTACTATTTTTGTGATTCGCAGAAGTCAATAAATTGTTTTTGTGCTTTATTAGGTTCATACTACTACTACTACTACTGCTACTACTACTACTAATAATAATAATATTAATGCATCTCCTCATCTGTTTTCCAGTTGTGGCTTTTACATTTGCTCATTTTAAGGTATAATATTTCCCATTAATTGCGACTTTTGCCACAATAAACCTCTAATTTGCTGCTCTTTAGTGGTTATTATGGTAGTATTTGGGTTTGGATATTGTGTAGGATTAGGGATGCAAAATATGATCATGCAGAATATGCACTTTTTATTTAATTCATTTTAAATACTTGTTTTTTTTTGCTTTATTAAGTTCATGTTAGAGCAGAGAGAAAATAATAACTCATCTGTTATTATTAATACATTAATAACTCGTCTGTTTTCCAGTTGTGGCTTTCACTGTCGCTTATTTGAATGTATAATACTCGCCATTAATTATGACTTTTGCCTCATTAAACCTGTAATTTGTACTATTTTTGTGATTCGCAGAAGTCAATAAATTGTTTTTGTGCTTTATTAGGTTCATAATAATAATAATACTACTACTACTAATAATAATAATAATATTAATGCGTCTCCTCATCTGTTTTCCAGTTGTGGCTTTTACATTTGCTCATTTTAAGGTATAATATTTGCCATTAATTACGACTTTTGCCACAATAAACCTCTAATTTGCTGCTCTTTAGTAGTTATTATGGTAGTATTTGGGTTTGGATATTGTGTAGGATTAGGGATGCAAAATATGATCATGCAGAATATGCACTTTTTATTTAATTTAATTTTAAATGCTTGTTTTTTTTTGCTTTATTAAGTTCATGTTAGAGAAGACAGAAAATAATAACTCGTCTGTTATTATTAATACATTAATAACTCGTCTGTTTTCCAGTTTCGGCTTTCACTGTTGCTTATTTTAATGTATAATACTCGCCATTAATTACGACCTTTACCTCAAACTCCTAATTTGCTGCTTATTAGTAGTTATTATGGTAGTATTTGATTTTAGGTAAATCTGATCATGCAGAATATGTATTGTTTTTTAATTTTTAAATGCTTGAATGTTATTTAGACAGCATATAATAGCTCTTCTCCTCATCTGTTTTGCAGTGGTGGCTTTCACTGTCGCCTACAACCAGAATAAGCAGCTGATCGGAGAGAAAGGCCTCATGCCGTGTAAAGATTACCTGAGGAGTGTTAAGCGTTATGTGGGAGGAAAGATTGACCTCTCCGCTCTGTCTTACACTCCTTCAATCCTCTGGTTCATGGACTGGAGCGATATGGATGCAAACCTGGATCTGATTGCGCTGGCAGGAATGGCTCTTTCAGGGTTGGTGCTGTTTTTGGGGTCTGCCAATATGGTCATTATGGGGACGCTGTGGATCCTGTATCACTCCATTGTGAACGTCGGACAGCTTTGGTGAGCACTGAAACACATGCATTCATATTACTAACAGTTTCACTTTTTTGGGATGATTTGATCTCAAATAATTCTCTTTTTCCTCTTATCCAGGTACTCTTTTGGTGAGTCATCATTTCTTCACATTGTTATATGGAATATTTGTACGTCCTTAAGTATATATAAGTATCTGTACTGGAGTTTATTTGAGAAATTTATACTTTACTTGCATTCCAAAACACAGTATTGTAATCTTTAATACTCTTACATCTCCTGAATGAAATCAACGAAAACTGATTCAAATGATCTGTTCGGAATGAATCTTCAGTATATGATTCATTGATTCAAACGATCTGTTCAAAATGAATCTCCAGTATATGATTCATTGATTTTAATGATCTGTTTAGAGTGAGTATCCAGTATATGATTCACTGATTCTAACGATCTGTTCAGAGTGAGTCTCCAGTATATGATTCACTGATTTAAACAATCAATTCAGAGTGAGCCTAAAGTAAAAGATTCACTGATTCAAAATAATCTGTTCAGAGTGAGTCTCCAGTATATGATTCACTGATTTAAACAATCAATTCAGAGTGAGCCTAAAGTAAAAGATTCACTGATTCAAAATAATCTGTTCAGAGTGAGTCTCCAGTATATGATTCACTGATTTAAACAATCAATTCAGAGTGAGCCTAAAGTAAAAGATTCACTGATTCAAAATAATCTGTTCAGAGTGAGTCTCCAGTATATGATACACTGATTTAAACGATCTGTTCAGAGTGAGTCTCCAGTATATGATTCACTGATTCAAACGATCTGTTCAGAGTGACTCTCTAGTATATGATTCACTGATTCAAACGATCTGTTCAGAGTGAATCTCCAGTACATGATTCACTGATTTAAACGATCTGTTTAGAGTGAGTCTACAGTATATGAGTCACTGATTCAAACGATCTGTTCAGAGTGAATCTCCAGTACATGATTCACTGATTTAAACGATCTTTTCAGAGTGAGTCTCCAGTAAAAGATCTACTGATTGAAATGATCTGATCAGAGTGAGTCCTGGTAAAAGATTCATTAATTCAAATGATCTAATCAGAGTGAGTCTACAGTAAAAGATTCACTCATTCAAATGATCTATTTAGAGTGAGTCTCCAGTATGCGATTCACTGATTCAGATGATCCATTCAGAGTGAGTTTCTAGTAAATGATTCACCGATTCAAATGATTTATTCAGAGTGAGTTGCAGTTAAATGGTTTATTGATTTGAATGATTAGTTCAGAGAGAGGCTCCAGTATATGATTTACTGATTCAAATGATCTATTCAGAGTGAGTCTCCAGTAAAAGATCTACTGATTGAAATGATCTGATCAGAGTGAGTCCTGGTAAAAGATTCATTAATTCAAATGATCTAATCAGAGTGAGTCTACAGTAAAAGATTCACTCATTCAAATGATCTATTCAGAGTGAGTCTACAGTAAAAGATTCACTCATTCAAATGATCGTTAAGAGCGAGTCTCTAGTAAATGATTCATTCATTTAAATGATCTATTCAGAGTGAGTCTCCAGTAGAAGATTCACTGATTTCTGATTCACTGATTCACTGATTCACTGAAGATTCAAGATTCATCAGGTGAAGTTTTTTTTCCCTCTCCGCTGTCGCCACTGCCTCGCATGGTTCAGGATTGGTAGAGCTGCGCATCGATGAATTTGCTCTTCAGTGTTTGAACTCTCAGTAATGATTAAATCACACTGAACTGAGCTAAACTGAACTGAACTGAACTTAAACACTAAAACCTGAACCACACTGTTCCAGTTACTATGACCATTTATGTGAAGCTGCTTTGACACAATCTACATTGTAAAAGCGCTATACAAATAAAGCTGAATTGAATTGAATTGAATTGAATTGATTTAAATTATCTGTTCAAAGTGAGTCTCCAGTAAACGATTCACTGATTCAAATGATCTGTTTATAGTGAGTCTCCAGTAAAATATTTGCTGATTCAAATGATTTGTTTAGAGTCGCCAGTATATGATTCGCTGATTCAAATTTTTTGTTCAGAGTGAGTCTCCAGTAAAAGATTCACTGATTGAAATGATCCATTCAGAGTGAGTCTCCTACATGCATTAGCTTGAATTACCCTGCATATATGATTGTTATAAGTGTAATAATTGAAGCATGACACATCTTGCTAATTTAACATTCTTGCATAACAAACATTAATCAGTAATTCCTTTTACTTTTTCACTTAAGTAAATTAAAACTCCAATACTATTGAAAAGAATGTAATGTTTGATTAGGGTGTCTGCTCTTGTTAAAGTGACTCATTTGTGGACTCGCTCCCCCCGTGATGAAATATTATAATGCACTCTTTGATTTCTAGGAGCTGTATTTTCATAGAACACACGCATGGGAGTTTTTAATGAATTATTGGATGGCACAAACAAACAAAGCAGTGCCGTTTTCTCCAGAATTCCCTTCAGTGTTTAGTTTTGCATGTGGGATCTCCACCAGTGTGACTGATAGAGTCTCTGAAGCCAAAGTGATTCATCTGAACTTTTAGCCCAGCGTTTTACCTCATCCCACAAACCACATCTGTGATCGGCCACAAGAAACGCCGCGTCCCACCAAAATCCAAATCCCCCAGATAAACAAGGACACCACAAACGGGCTCGATTGGCCAATCAGGTTTTGATTATCTCCCATTGTTGAGCGGAGGACTAGAACATGTTGTTTGATTTATATTGGCGTATTTCTTTTGTGTTTTACACCGTATAAAGCTTTCCCTAGTTTTAGAGATCAGTCCAAGTGCATGTAACACTGTAATGTTCAACATAATAGACTTCAGATGATTTTCCAGCTTTTAATAGCATTCATATTCTGCAGAGTGAGCCTCCAGTAGATCATTCACTGATTCAAATGATTCGTTTAGACTGAGTTTCCAGTAAATATTCACTTATTTAAGTGATTAGCTCAGAGTGAGTATACAGTGAGTCTCCAGAAAAAGAGTTTAGTGATTCAAATGATTCGTTTAGAGTGAGTTTCCAGTAAATGATTCACTTTTTCAAATTATTAGTTTAGAGTGAGTCTTCAGTAAATGATTCGCTGATTCAAATGCTCCATTCAGAGTAAGTCTACATTAAATCATTCACTGATTCAAATGATCTGTTCAGAGTGAGTCTCAGGTAGATGTTTTATTGATTCAAGTAATTAGTTCAGAGTGGGTCTCCAGTATATGGTTTAGTGATTCAAATGATCCACTCAGAGTGTGTCTCCAGTAAATGATTCACTGATCCAAATGAGTTATTCAGAGTGAGTCCTCAGTAAATAATTCCCTTATTTAAATGATTCATTTAGAGTGAGTCACCAGTAAATGATTCATTGATTCGAATAATTAATTCAGAGTGAGTCTCTAATAAATGATTCACTTATTCAAAATTTTCATTCAAAGCGAGCATCCAGTAAACGATTCACTGATTCAAATTATTTATTCAGATTGAGTCTCCATTAATGATTCACCTGTATAAATTATTCATTGAGAGCGAGCCTCCAGTAAATGATTCACTAGTTCAAATGATCCATTCAGAGTGAGCCTCCAGTAAATCATTCACTGATTCAAATGATCCATTCAGAGTGAGTTTCCAGTAAACGATTAACTGATTCAAATGACCCATTCAGAGTGAGTCTCCAGTATTATGATTCAATAATTTTAATGATCCATTCAGAGTGAGTCTCGGGTAAATGATTTACTGATTCAAATAATCTGTTTAGAGTGAGTTTCCAGTAAATGTTTCACTGATTCAAATGATTCATTGAGAGTCAGTCTCAGGTAAATAGTGTATAGAGATTTAAATAATTAGAGTGAGTCTCCAGTAAATGATTCAATGATTCAAATGATTTATTCAGAGTGAATCTCCTGTAAATAATTCACTGAATCAAATGATCCATTTAGAGTGACTCCTCTGTGAATCATTTACAGATTCAAATTATTAATTCAGAGTGAGTCTCAGGTAAATGTTTTATTGATTCAAATGAACCGTTTAGAGCGAGTCTCCAGTAAATGATTCACTGCTTCAAACGATCCATTCAGACTGAGTCTCAGGTAAATGGTTTATTGATTCAAATGATCCAATCAGAGCGAGCCTCCAGTAAATGATTCAATCTGATCATGAAAAAATAGAATTAATTAATGTTGACCATTAGATTCAGTAAATATACACACACTGCTGACACACAACTGTGTTTACACCCCTTATAAATGTGATTTTTGCATATTAGGGGCTCTTTAACGCATGCAGAACATAGAGTTATATTTGTCACATGAGCTGTTATGAGTGTTAAACCCGGTAATCTGTTTTAATTTTATTTAGACAGGAGTGGCATGCAAAAAGTCTCATATCTCACACTTGGCTCATAAGTCCAGTTAGCAGTAAACTAATTTAAGAGCAGAGAGGACATGGCGGCGCTTCAAAAATGCAGAATCTTCTGTTCGTCTCCCAAGATTCAAATCCAATCACGGCGCTGCAGATGTAATGAATTATTCAGCTCCAAACCAAATAATTGTGTCTAGAAATCTGATTAGGGGTGTAAAAATAGCACAGGAGATACTGGAGCGATCTTTTCCTTCTGTGTATGATAGAGCGGAGAGATAAATGTGAGTCCTCAAACCTCCGTCACGCTCCGATCGCTCATTTCTGCCCACTTTCCACAAACCACCGACGAGTAAACACACGATCTGATGCTCTTCATGCTTGTTGGAAGACCGTTGCTTTTCCCAGGGAGACTCGAGGCTTAATATCACTGCGTTTGAGTCATAGATTCTGCCTGGAAACTGGTGGCAAAGTGATTGTTGCAGAACATTTTGATCACATCTGTGATTTAATGCTCTTGAGGACAGATGAACTCTTCTTGTGTGATTTTGGTCGTATGATGAAGGATTGTTTTTTATGAAGAGGTTTAGGTGGCAGTGATTTTTAGTATTGGAATAAGGGTTTACTTTGGTGTCGTGTTTCTGTAAAGCAGGAGAAAAACATATGATGCAGGACAAGAGAAGTGGATAGATAGATAGATAGATAGATAGATAGATAGATAGATAGATAGATAGATAGATAGATAGATGGATGGATAGATGGATAGATAGATAGA